ATCGTTAAATGTTGTAGAGAATTCTGAATAGCAAAGAACATATTTCATGACATCAATCAGTGTTAGCATTGTGACAGAGATCAAATATAAGCAATCTACAAGATCGACAATATGCCATTTTTCTGTTTGGCAACTGTAAATGATAAACCATCTAACTGTTCTATAACATTTATAACACCATCATAGTATCATTCTCCAAGATCATGAGTACAATGCTCAATAGCAATTGCTTTTGTTTGTTTTAGTCTTTCTCCTAAATCTTCACAAAACCGAATACTCATGAGCTGTACATATTCATTACTTAGTAGTGGGGGTTATTTTATTCAATCTAAAAGAAAGTATTCATCTTCTATCCGTAAAGATTTAGCTTTATGTGAATTGATCAATGAAATAACTAAAGATGTTTGTGGAGTTATACCTGTTGAAGATGTAGCAATTTCAGCCATAACGATAGAATTTTCCTTATATGATAGTTCTTCGTGCAACTCTTTTAAGTAGTTTATATCACGTGATTCTCATCACTATTACCACTGGATAAAAATCTAATCTTGAAGCATTATAAGAAAAATAACAATGAATTATAAGTGATTAGAGTCGCCATTTCCAGGAAATGGCGTTTTTTCGATATTTTTTTACTTCAGTATTTTGTTTCCGATATTTTCCCATGCGAATGGATCCTTACTGGTTCTCTAACGGATCCCGAATAGAAACACTCAAGATTGTTACTAGATAAGCAAAATAAGAACAAATTGATGCATAGATATTTTTGCTACTCGAACATACAGAATCGCCCTATTTAAACAAAAACACACAGAGCACGGACCACGTCTACGTGGGATACAGAGATTATTTGAAAGACATCATTCTCATATGCAAAACAAACAATGAAATACGATTAAAATAATCAAATTGTAAAACGGAAACCGATGAAGAGGGCATGGGGCGTGATCTTAATCAAAATAAAAGATTATCGTGATGTTGTTAAGATGTAAATGAGAAGAACGCGTACTCAACGATCGCACACACGTCCCGTACACAAAGATTACAGACAAACGTCTGAGAGCTATCTTTCACCCGCGACTTTCTCTCCGAAAGCTCTAAAGAAATATGAGAAATAATCTCTGTATTTCCTAGGAGAAGTTACGTAAACTACCTCTGCACAGTTCTTGGTGCACTACCAGAGGCTCACCTTAATAGTCGATAGACGGATATGAGTATCAGCGTTAGCTGGCATATGACCATTTATGGGCACACCTACGATAAACATCACGAATGGTAATGCATATCCGCTTTCTATAATCCTTGAAAGTTTATTGATATTCCCATTATATAGTAGTAGATGACTGACAGGTACTCCGTTGTATAGTAGTTCATGAACTATTGACACATCCACTTTATATAGCAGTTGATGGCTTCTGGATAGCAATGTTATATCCTAGTGAATGACCTATGAATACCCTTCTTACATAGCAGTTCATGACCTATGGATAGCCCTGTTACACCACCTATGGAGAGTTATGGGCAGTTTCATGAACGTTTATTAAATTTTATGAATTTCTAAGAAAAGTTTTATTTCATAGGAAAGCGTACTTTAACTTTCAAAAGTCTAAAGTTAAAGTGCCACCGATAGGTATCCCCGTTATGTAGCCCATGAAGAGTTATAAGTACGTCCGTTATATAGCCTATCAAGGGTAATGGGTACCCTCGTTATATAGTGGAAGATGAGTCACATTCACCCCCGTTATATAGCTTAAGGAGAGTTATGGGTGCTTTTGTGAGCCTTTTTTAAGTTTCATCTCGTTCTCAAAGTCTTGATGCATGAGGAAATATGCACTTTAACTTTAAACTTTTTAAAGTTAAAGTACACTTGCTTTTCAACATTCGTGTTCCACATGTCATAAAAATAGACACTATCCTCAAAATGCGCACTAATATGATAAGTGTTACTGGAGATCAAGAAGTTTGAATGCGTTAATAGTTGTAAGAAGTTCTCAATTTTTTTTGTCGGATATCACAATATTTCGTAATGTTTAGCACAACATTTTTCTTGGTTAAAATATCTCAAACTATGATTGATCTCTCAAGTTTTTTTACGCTCAAAAATAGCGTTTTGTTATCGAGCAATAAAAACGATCAATGATTTACTATATCGTAACTACTGACTATCTGGTACTAATATAGCCATTTCCGATCCCGACTGCTTTTGTTAATGCATGTTAAACTGTTGTATGAACTAAAATATACCATAATAATCAACAAGTAACTATGAATCAAGTAAAAGCACGAGAGTTAAAGGAAACGAAGCGTACTAATTCAACCAAGAGATTATTTGGTATGTAGTATATTTTTTATGATAGTCAAAGCTCGTCTGTTAAACAAAATCTATATGAAAAATGCATTAGTAGAAAATTAATAATTTTCTATCACCATATTAGCCGAAAGTCATTCTCAAGAAATTCAGTCATCATTCATATAAAGTCGCTTGTTTTAAAATGTTCGATAAATAGAAAAATTAGATCGAAATATCTAATTTCAGATCGATAATATATACAATAGAAGTAAGATACAAGTCAACATTTACTGGGCTCTCGTAAAAGTACTCATTCAATAGGATCGATGTAGGCACTTTTTCTTTATAAAAAATGGAAAAAAAATCACCACTGGGGCATTTTTCATACAGATTTTTATCAAATAATGATAACTCTCACAGGATGAGTCAAGAGTCGTTCAATGAATAAAAATGTTAATCGCTGTACTATACTTTGATTCAATAAGTTTATTGTTTCCAATAATGATATGGGATGCTCATAGATCATATTCATAAGAATAGACTAAGGAATATTGCAATAAAGCATCAACGTACTGTCAACTTTATCCTTGAACATAGTCAGAATATGTAGAGAAAATTGAAATATAATTTTTTCATCACTTTTTAATATCTTGCAGTTCTTCATTTCTAAGTTTTCATAATATATCAAAGTATTATTTGTCGATACTTTTCTTATTAATATAATTGATGAACACTGATTTTTTGAATCTTATCGTGTAGAATCAAAACAGACACGAATGCCAAATATTATTTTGCCAAGAATAATTCACGGAGGATCACCGGAGCGCTAAAAATTTCATTTAGACTACTCTTATAGTGATGTAAATTGTAGTGTGCTTTGAAGTATACTCAGTCCCAAGGAATATTAATTAAAAAGTTTATCAGCTAAATTGATTCAATACTTTGAGTGATTCGAAATGGTAGAAATTTTGTACTATAAACAGCATCCAATAGTCGACATTCTATTGAACTGATGATAGTATAACATAGAGCAGCTAGGTCTTTGTAACATTGTAATATATTTTTATAAATAGTATGTTTTTTTGGATGTTAGTTATATCCAGTTACGAGTAAAAAATTTCGAGTTATAAATGAAATGACTGCAGAAGAATGAAAACATTAAATCAGGTCCTAATAGAAAATTCCCATTAGTAGTTTCGGATTTTCTATGTTTACTATTTGTTCGCTTTGTGTTGATTTGATTCAGGTCATTCATATCAGCTGTGAGAGGGGAAACTAGTTGAAAGATTTACGATGTATTATTGATAGACAGTAGTAAAAACAATGTCCCATATATGTTTTTTAAGAGAAAAAAAGACAGAACTTTCACTATTCAGTCCTATGAAAAAGATTGCGGGTAAAGTGGAAGATCATGACACAAGTCTGATATTCTTTGGATCGAAATTTATTTTTTTATGGTGCTTTTTAAAATTACTTCATATTTTAAGAACCCATAGTTTGAATTTATATTTCTTACCGTTGGCTTATTACAAGTGCATATCAATGTTCAATTGTTTCATTTATTTCTAAATTCTTTATCAGAAAATGTTCTTTTCGTCTTATCAACATCACAAAAAAAAATATATACATGAATGAGCTATTTTCGATTCTAATAATCTTTATACAATAATAAGACAACAACAAATAATAATTCAACACGATAAATTTTTAATTTCATCAAAAACCTATATACATCAGATAAATATTTCTCTTATGATAAACTTTCTACAAAAAATATTCAAAAAAAAATGATAATTCAAAAAACTATAAGATTCAACTATAATAAACACTATATTTCTCTGTTGATATCCTAATTACGTAGTATCATAGAATATCTTAACATCTCTGGTGCTAAAGAAGCTCGATGCTTTCCTTGAATGAAACCTGAAATGCTAAAAGCACTTTCACTTGATATGGAAGTTGCAGAGATGATATTGTAACGACGTACTATTGATGAAAGTATTGGTAAACGAGTTTTGTTGTTGTTCCAATATTGAGAAAAAGTTTGATTTTCGCTGACTGTTGATAAGTAATAACAAATCTCTTCTTTTACAGTCCATTTGCGTGAATTATTCGACATTCCATTACAGGATAAGTCACATGATTTGTATAAATTGTATAGTGCATTAGATGAATCGTCTTTTTCTTGCTTGATGGTTGATGTTGTATCTATTAATTGAGAAGACGATGATGATGTTGTTTGTAAATTTAATTTTGAATAAACAATTGAACGTTCGTTGAGTAAAATAGCTTCAGCTTCTTTTCGGTCACCATCTATCACATATCGACACGTTGTCGGATCAAGAAATGCTGACACCTGAAAGACAAATAAAATAATAAAAATTTATTGATTTTTTCCAATAGAGTTGAAACTCTCCAAGTATTAATAAATTAGATTTAGTGGTTTTCTAGGGTTTATTTTCGTAATATTTATAATTTTGACTCATACTTATCGAATATGTTCAATAAATTTAATGCTATAGGAAAAGCGCATCGTCAAAATTTGCGCTCTGTATCTGATGAAAAGAAATAGTCGAAAATAACGAAAAAAAAGCGACCTAAGCTTCTTCTGTACCTTCAAAAGATTTCTTACAGAGAATATATCTACTTAGCCGATAAATATAAACCCTTCGGGTAATCCAAGAAATTCTGTACAAATAATAATACAATACTATAAGTGTTTCATATATCCTAAAGATGTTCTAGAAAACTTCATTTTGTGGTTTTGTTTAAATAGAAAAAATTATACGTACTAATGTAACAATTTTTTGTTCATCTGTCACATGCTTTTCAAAATAGTAGTCAAATGTTGATAGCAAGTGCTTTTTGAGTATGTTCTCCAATGTCAATGGAGCATTGTCTTTTGTGTTTCAACAAGCTTTTTATTGCATGTGTTACACCATAGCTAATCGACAAACTTGGTCGGTGACAATTTGACAGAACTTTAATTCCTTCATTGAAAGGTGACAAAACATGTTCAACTGATTTTAAAATTGTCCAATCAATCGACGAAAATGATAGTTTTCTTAATGTACGACATTGGCGTGATCTCAAACCTATTACTGATGTTGGATCATGCATTAATGAATTGATAATTGAACTGTTATATAAAAAGCGTGATAGCATGGTAAACGTACTGTTCCATCTGATTTTCATATCCAACGTGAATTTTTTAATCGAATTCTTTTTTGTTCTTCGGGTGATTGCTTTTTAGCATTTTCCTCTTTTAATTTGATTTGTTTGTCAACATATCTGTTTAATATGCTAGATTTAAGTATTATGGATACCAGTTTACGAATACGTTTAAGGAGAATATGAGTTTTTTTCAGTCTCTCAGCCCAGTTCAATTCTTTGTTTTCTTTTTCCTTAACTGCAACTATCTATCGTAAAAGTGAGTCGATCGGAATCATCGAGTTCTTTTAAACAAACTGAATATGATGAAGTCGTATTGTCAAATGCATTTAACGGGATAGGTTTTTCTTTTTTGGCAACCATAGCAAGTGCTAGCAACAGCCGATAAATCACTATTATGAATAGAACAAGCTTTTTTGAAAAGTAATTCATTCATTTTTCTTGGTTATCAACGAAGAACTCATTCGTAGAACAATAAGCTCTCATTGGCCTCACTGCTGCTTCCGAATACACATTTATTTGGAATATTTTATTGGAGATTTCAACTAACTATTGCTCTTTTTTTTTCAAAAACAAAAATTTTCAAAGATTCTGGAAAATCTCTATTTAACTTGTATAAATTACTCTTGATAATTAGCTTGTGCCACAAATTTCACCCAAATAAGTTCGTGAAAAACAACGGTTATGAACAGTTCCATTATTGAATCCGTCATTGAGACATAATAGATCAACAAAAGATCCAGAATTTGCGGCAGCAATTCAATTTTGAGTTTAAAAATTTTAAAAGAAACTGTACACTGCAAAAATAATGTAGCCAGGATATTTCAAATGAATGCATCTCACGTCACTATTCTTTTGAATAGTGACCTATAGTATATCTAACTGCATATCTACGATTCAATTCTCTAGCAGTTCATTTCGTACGATTATTATTAAATGGTTATTGTACGATATCATTCCATCATCTAGTGATCTACTATGCCAAGGTCTTGAAAATGAATGCATATTATCATTAACCCACATAAGTGAGGATTAAAGAGTATGCAAATAAATAGTGATGCTTCATGCACTCATTTTATCAAAAATTATTAAAACTAAACTTCCTGTTATTGAAAAGACTAAAATAAAGACACTGCTTGAAGATATAATACTAATATACACATCCAAAATACTTAACACGCACTGTCTTGTTCATATGACACGGGTCTTTTACAAGTATTGTATGTAAGAGATAACTAACTACATGTTTCAAGAGTGCCACTAAAAATTTCTATTCAAATAGGAATCTCTTCGTTGCGTCTCTATGCTAGGTAACTAAGTCGCTCAATTAATTTATTTTCATCCCATAAAGTGAGATGTTTTCATCACTTTGTGTTGATTTTGAGGTCACATTTGACATCTACGATCTTTATCAATTTCATGACTAGAGTAGATAAAATTGACTTACACATTTTTCGGTATTTTGAATAATCATAGACCATTTTGAGTAATTAAATTCAAATTATGTAAAATACAAGATATTTTAATTCCGAATTTCGATAATCTTTATGTTGCACATCGTATATCACCTCCATTATCTGTAGTTATTGCACACACCTTGGATTTAATATCAAGTTTATTTATTTCTTTTTCAATGAAATGTTCTAATCGATCAGCAGAGTGTTTACCAATAAAACGTCGGAATGCACTAACCATTGTATGGTACTGATATTCATCATCGTAATATTGAGCAGTTAAGCCAATGAAATGAGATTTACTGTTGCTTTGCCAAATATCAGCACTTCATGAAATATTGGTAATATTAGAAAAAATTTCTCGAATATCAGCTCGATGCTTTTTATACATCGGCTTTAGACGTTTAACAACTGTCTTTCTGTGCGGCCCACGGTAACCTGGAATAGCTACAGATAGAAAATGTTGCATGCCTGGTTTTCGGAACAAATTGAATGCATTTGAATCTTGAATAATTGCTTGAACTGCTGCTGAATCTAATAATTGTTTCTGATCGAATGTTACTGCCTCACTACATATGCAACAGAACCCTATAGAACGAATGGTTTATTTTCTTCCCTCAGTTTTTGGTAAATATCAAATGTGCATTGTAAGCACAACATATAAAAACGTTTAACGCACAATAGTCCAAAGCTTTCCTCGGCGATTTTTCTGTGATGAAGTGTTTCTCAGGATGATGCCATCAGTGTTGTTATCTGTGCCTTTAGCAATAAGTATATGCTATGATGTATTAGTTCCCGTTGATTACAAATATCAATTTTAAGTGTCAGAAGTATGATAGATTATCGGAGTAGCATAATCTTATATAAATAAGAAAAATTTCTTTGGAAACTTAATTACTATTCTGTAATTTTGTTGGAAAAAATCTTTAAAAGGGTCAAATGTATATTATTGTAGACGAATCTAGGTAGTACATTCA